ATGTTGTTATTATTTTTTAATCTCTTAGCCAGTCATAAACCTATGTTAACACGAGCACATCACTATGAGCCCGCAATACATACGCAGACGTGGTAAGATAAACGTCATTTGTTAGGAAAAATTCCGAGCATTGTATTTCCTTGCACCTTACGGCGTCTGCGTATACTCTGCCTATGCTCATACACATAAGCAATAGCATATACTCAATGTAAAAAAACACAATTGTAAATCTTATTTATAGTGGTCATGCACTTAGCTATACAAGAGCTAAGCTTAGCTAGTTGTTTACAGGCATGCCACTGAAACAAAGGAAACAAATATTTCAAATAAACGTAACATAGTTAAAAATCCCAACTGGCAGGTGGCTATTTACAAAGCGTGACCGAGGATTTTGAACCCGGGACTACCGAGAAACAAATGCTGCTAGTGGCAGGGTGGAGACTTGAACCCGGGACCTTCAGATTACAACACCAGCGCCCTAAACCTCTCGGCCACGCTGCCCCCAAGCAAGTGAAGACTCCGCAGCATAAGTTATAGGACATGCGCAAGTGAAGAAACAGCTCATTCTCGTCAATAAACGCGTGGCTCTGGGGACGAGAATAGATACCAGAGTTCCTCGATCGCTAAAAATTCGGGCGGGGTCCGCCGTGTTGTTTGCGATATAATATTTTCGCAGATGCACAGGTAGCCCTCGTCCGTTTAGAATATGAATAGTCAAAACCAGGCGTTACTGAAGCCTTTGATTGAGGTGATTTCTTTCGAGATATATAATAGCCTCCCTCTTTCAAATCATGATATGTTTCTGTTACATCTGACCGTCTTTCGTGGAACAAATGAAAAGAATATAATAGGTATATATTTTAACGAAATTTCCGGCGCGTAAGGAACCTGGACAAGTCTTGGACAACATTTTATACTGTTTATCTTTAGTATTTATGGAAAGGGTGGATAACGCGACCCTGTGGAGAAATCTCACTCCAGGGTATTCATGTGGATAAAACAAACTTCGCTATCCTTTAGATTTTGATTTGTCCGGACGGGGTAACATTATACAATCTTTTAACAACATATGGTTATCATATGGTAAAGCAGTTGTAGCATAATACTGATCAGAATACTGTGAATAAAAAAATGCTGAATCTTTGTATGCTTCGATATGGTAACTGTATGGTAACTGTATCCGTTCCCGGTACCCAGCTTTATACATAAAGCGGCTTCATATAACTTTCCTGGATGCCAAAAAATAAAAAAATTCTGAATGAGCGAAAGTGCATTCTTTGTTGTTCTGGTGACCTGGTGTACCGATGCCTTGTTGATCCATGTTCAAAGGTTTTGCCAAAACCGGACACACACTTACGAAACACGTCCACTGATACCTTGCTCTAAGAGTTGCTTTTTCTTTTTGCCTAGAGAAACATGGTGTCACTAGGCAGTGGACCATTCTTAGAACGATTATGTCAGTGATTGAATTTACTTGAAGATGAATCGACTTGATCGTAAACTGGGTGGCGTTCAAATTGAGGTAAAGGCAACCTCGCCCCAACTCTTCATCGGCCAATATGTCTAAGATTTGTATATGTCAGATTTGCCGGCAAAAAGTGCCACTCGTAACGTTCAGAGTATAAAATCACCAAGCGTGTCACTGGCCTTAAACAGTCTTTATATATAAATAAATCAATCAATCAATCAATCAATCAACCAACAAACAAATAAATAAGTGCATTTATATAGCGCCATACCCCACTAATTGTCCGTGGCGCTTTACAATACCATAACTCTTAATTAATTAAAAAAACTACATCATTAAATTCAATTCAGGCTAATAATAATAATAATAATAATAATAATAATAATAATAAAATTATAAATCAAAAGAATTCGTAAACAGATATGGCTTAATGCTGAAAAAAGGAATAAAAAAAATCTTAGAGTAAAAAAGAAACAAAAAACAAAATAACGCATTGCATAGCGTGAAAAGTACTGTAATCATGGACAGGTGATCAAAATCTGGGAGAAGAGAAAACAATTTGATGGTACATATGATACCAGAAGCGTATCGAAAGTCTATTACGCTTCCGATACAGACAGACGTTTACTATTTTGAAGCGCAAACAGGGACTGTTTGCACGTGAAAGGGAATAGTCGCTAGACGTCTACTCGAAGGCTACACGCGAGAAAATATCGGAAGTGGAAGTGGATATGGAAGTATAAAAAAACGTACGAAATGAAAGCAAGAGAAACAAATTCGCATTAATCGACTCTCGGATGTTGTAATTTATAATGGTCTGTTCTAAGTCTCATGTCGCATTTTTTTTTCCCCATATTTGTCATCATCCCAATATTTTTAATTTGTTTACTTATTCGTCGATCGTGCAAAGCCGTCGCTCATCCGAAGAATGACGAAAACATGTGACGTCACCTACGACACGGAGTCGTCGTCGAGGCAGGTCTGTAAATATTCGTGACTTCCGGCATGACAGTCGTGTGACGTGGTACATTTGCAGTCGAAAGTAATAATAATTTGGTAGCAAGTTATGCTGCCAAGATCGTTGTATCCTAAACAAGAGAGATAGTCTGGGTTTTTCAGAAATAAAGCCAGTCAGTAGATCGACTAGTCTTCATTAACCATATGTTTCTAAAAAAAGGTCTAGGTAGAATTCTCTAGATTTGCCCACTACATGTGATGCGGTCATATTTCGTATCTTTTGCTTGTTTGCGGGCTATTTCAGTCACTCATGGTTTATAGTGAGCTTTTTGTTTAATTATCCAATCACATAAGCCAAATTCGAAGTGATTGACGTCCTTAGCTGAATTAACGTGACGTCACAGAGACCATAACAAAAGGAAATCGCTTCATTTTCCGGGAGAGAGAATAGTGCGAAGGGCAACGTCTGAGATTTAAGGGAATTTTCCTTGAGTTTATCGCCGATATTTTGGTAAGTAAAGGGTATTCTGGTAGCATATAGTACTGAGGCTAAGGAAGACATGAACATCTATCGCTAAAGATAGAAACATCCACGTTGGGCGCTGCCAGAAGAGTGAGCCATATTTGTTTGGCTTTTGTTGTCAGCAGTCCGTGATGGCAACCTCAGTCTTTCGAATACAGGCATTCTGAAACGTTCAGTGGTACAATTTTTGGCCGTCTAAAATCGTCTATAGGTTATAGAATTATGCAATAGAAAGTAGAAATGAGTGTTATGTCGGCCCTCCCTTCAGCACGCGTGACTGCGAGGACTCTCTGAATCTGCCAGTCGAACCGAATATTCTTCAAGATCTTTGTTACAACCTCGCTATTATACACCTGTATTTTCACCAAACCCGATAGATGTGATGTTCTATTACGCGTTTTTAAGTCAACTGACTCAAATTGATACCGGAGTAAACAACCAAGCTTTATTTTCAGCCCACAGGGTTCGCTCTGGCTGAGTCATGGTTGCGTTAGCGCAGCGCGGATGAATCCGGCCTCACGGAACGAAATGAAAGGGAATAAAAACGACAAAAGAAATAAAGGGTATTGAGACTTGAAATTCGTTTTCACTTTCATTCTATTTTGATCTACGGCTTTGAGTTTGAGTTTTACGAGGAGAAGCAAAAATTGACCGAAAATTTCAAGCGTAAAGACAGCCCAGCTTTAGACTGTTTCGTCTCCTCGCTCGCTGTTTCGTAATGTGGTTGGTATTTGTACAGTTTCTACTGTAAAATTGACTCCGTTTGCAGTCTCATTTTGTCGGTTAAACTCCTTGAAGAGGTAAATTTGGCCGTTTTCGTGAGAACAATCGCTGGTTTGGAGAAAAAGGTCTTATTTTATGGCGTCGCGTCATATTCGACCCATGAGAGAGCCGCGAAATTATTAATGTTGAACAAACATGGCGACCATTTGAAGATGTCCTCAGTATGAATTGTCACCTAGTTTTAACTTAGGATCTTTTCAATCGCCAGAATATTGCATTATGAGTTCAAAAGGTAATTTGATTGCTTGAAAACGGCTTGTTGGTGAGTAGGGAAAAAAAGAACATTATTTATTTCCGTGAAGTCCTTGCTCAATTTCGTGATATTTTAGCTTCGACGTCAGTTGTTACATCAAATTTTAAGCGTCAGACTTGATTTCGGTGGATTTGTTCTCAGCTCATGTCGGTAAAGTTGTTCCTCAAGTAAACACTAGCCTTTAGAAAGTTGTACAGTTGTATAACCTTCTGGTAATCGAAATGAGTTCACAATCATTATCGTTATTATTATTTTCTAGATCTCTGCAGTTTTAGATTGTTATAATCGTTCGAACCGCGTAATGTCCGTAATCTTTGTGCTTTATACTTGCTTTCAGTATCTAGATAGTCGAGCATGTGGTTTTGCAACCTATGTTACGTTCAGTTGTACCATTAATTTCTCTTTACAACCAGGATTTAGATCCTTTGAAAACAATATTTAGTGTAAGGACGTTCTACCGGTGCAAACGAACTTCAGATTTTGAAATCTTTTCTTGATTGTAAGCTTAAGCTTAACTCAAACCAATCTTATTCAAATCTAGCCATTTCTTGTATTGAAAGTGCTTTTTACAGATGTTTATTGCTAGGTTATGGAGTGATGCAAGATTTTCCTTGTATCGTGTGTTTGAAAAGTGTCAGCAGTTTCTTTGTGACACCACCGTCGTAGTCAAGTTGTAATTTATTTTAGACATTCCGGTCTTATGAAACTCTCCTTACACAACAAAGGATTCTGTATGTCAGATGGAAAACGGTAAAACAACAATTACTAGATTCTCTCATAATAGAGAAATTTTGGTACTTTCTTTTAAAGCATCTTTGTACCCTAGGAAGAGGAAAATCCTTGTAGTTCTAAAGTTCTGCAATTATGTTCAATTATTTCAGTTAAAATAAGCTTACATATCTTAAAATATTATTTTATTATTATTACTATAGTTGCCTTACTTTCATTTTTGTCTTGACAAGGATATTGATTGGCATGTTTTGGATTTGTTATCTTTACATTACTGTATTCTGTACAACATTTAAGCATAGTTAAAAGGTTCAGGAAGACAGACCTTAAACTAAATAATTTGGTATGATAGCTGTTATTGGTCATCAGTAAAAGTCACTGTGGTAATTTGGAGAATGTTGTACATTATATCAAGTGTTCCAAAGGGAACATTTGGTGAACCCAATTTTTTTTAACCCACAGCCCCTCAGATATGGCATGTAGTGTTTTCTATTTTCCCTTTGTTGTTTTCTTGTTTTTGACTTTTCAACCATATTTTGTGATGGTCTTTGTGCTTATTAACTTAAAGACGTTTGCTTTTCTCAACAGTGTAATGGAAAGAGGTTCAGATGACACTCAGCAACCCTCTTTGTGTCGCATGGGCTGCGGATTCTATGGCAGCTCTTCAAGTGATGGTATGTGTTCCAAGTGCTTCAAAGATGCTTTACGGCGGAAGCAATCTTCACCAACAACCAGTGCAACGGCAACAGTAATGTCGAGTTCCTCCACAGGTTGGTGTAGTAAGAGCAAAATATAATTTATTTCTTTTCATGTGCTTGTGATAAGATTTTGTTATTTAATTTCTAAGGGGAGTCAAAACTATTAGTTTGACACAAACAAAATTTGATCATGATACATAGTACATTTACATGTATATGTATGTGCATTTGTGTGGCATTGCCATTTAAACTTATGTACATGTGCGATATCAAATCAAGGGAATAGATCAGACAACAAAGGACATTTACATGCTCTTTGCCAACTGCTTTTCATACACCAGTTAGACAGTTTGTCACCTGCAACTGTTAACTTATCAGAGCTACAGGATTCAGGACAGGATCTAAAGCAGTCAAATTATTTCAGCTGATACACTCATCAAGATGCAACGACAGTAGATGCAAAAGAAAATTATGTTCTCACCTGTCCCTCTGAAGGTTTAGAACATAACATTACATATACAGACATAGAAAGTGTCGAGTTTTTGAGCAAAACTTTTAATGTTCCTAAAAATAAATTCACAAGCCAGTAGTAACAGCTCCCAGGTATTTAAAAATAGAGTAGTGGTAGTCAGGAGCTAACATTGTAACATTGTAAGTTCCCAGGTATGTTGGATGCTAAAATGTTTTATGAAGTGTCCTCAGTTTTCTTGGTGACGCAAATCTCTAAAATACTGTGGTGGCTTCTGTAGCGGGCAGACAGATTGTTAAGGTTAAATCTTTATAGTCTGGGTACAATTTAGGTGAAAATGTTGGCCAGAAATATTGATACAGTTGAACCCTATCATTACAAGATTTAAGTGAAATGAAAGCCCAAATCGTATTTTTCCTGCTATGTTCTAACATGATATGATGTCATGTTGATGTTCATATTTCAACTCAAACAGTGGAGTTCAAAATAATCTGGGTTAATTTTAGGCTGACGGAAACAGAAATAAGCTCAAAAAAGCAGTGAGTTTGTACAAAGAAAGAGCCAATGATACAGTAAATGACTGAAAAAACGAGGGCAAATCCAAGGGAAATGGGTTTCGGTTTGAAATTACAGGGAATTCAAAATAACTGAGGGGAAATTAGTGGGGTCCCACTGTAATTTTGTCTGCCAATCTCTCAGGAAAATTCTAAAACAGTTCTCAAATTTGGAGAAATTTCCATAAACATCCTATCAGCAACCATACTAATATCATCTATCATCCAGAAAGTTAGTAATAAACATGTTTATACCAAAGATGTTGTAGGAATGTTTCATTCAATTCATTATCTGCTATTCAAGCTGTTATTTTTGTTTGTAAATGACAGATGAAATCACTCAGTAATACATGTACATGTAGATGGATGTGTTTGGATCAAATTTCAAATGTGTATTTTGCTATTATGACAACTTTTGTAGGTCAGTAAATTTGTTATTTACTACTTTTTTAGGCAATAAATATTTTGTCTATATTAACTATGCAAAATTAAAATGGTATACTGGTCAGTCCTGAGGTTAATTTACACACTGTGGTGTGCCTACGTAAATGAAATGGAAAAATAAAGTAAAGTAACAGTATTGAAATGAATTTATTGGTAATAAGATATTTTATTTTTTGTTGACTTGTAGGGCTGACTGAGGAACCATGCACTTCTCATTTGCCCCCAAGTGAGGATATCGCAGGAGCAGAAGTGAGTCCATCATCTTCAGCCAGCAGTGTCTCAGACGAAAATGATAGTTCAAGACAACCAGAGGCCCAAGCTGAAGCAAGCACATCTGAAACCAAGGACAAAGCTAAAACTAAAAGAAATAGATGTTTTATGTGCCGTAAAAAAGTAGGATTAACTGGTAAGTGGTGGATTGGTAATAAACTTAATATGTAAAGCTAACAGTGATAAAACACTTGGCTATTTATCTTAGCTATATATATTTATCAATCAAAGTTGATCAAGGTAACATAACCGTGTGGTGAGATGGCGAAGCTGTCCCTTTGCTCTGATGGAGGGCTAAGGCTTGAATTGTCAACTTCTCAACTTAAGGTTAAACTCAAGGTTAGGCTGTAAATTTACTTTTATCACCTTGCAGAAGATAAATATTTTTGTGTTCACTGGTCAGATCATTCAAACTGCTCAATCAACAGTTTTGTAATTTGCTTCCATCAATCAAAATATCAAATTAGCAGACCTCAGGAAATATGTAGGTTTACTTTAATTGGTTCAAAGGGTGGGGGTTGTGATTGGCAAGTCAGCCAGCCATCGACTGGCCAAGAGAAATCTGCCTGTATTATCAAATAAAAGTAGTCCTTTGACTGCTTTGATAATACAGATAATTGACTGACTGGCTTTTGTTTGGGCCAGAAGAAAATGACCATAATAACAATAACAAGGTGACTATATAATAGGGTGGCTGTTGCTGGGGTTCCACGATACGGGTATAATCACAACTCCAAAATCACCCTTTCTCACCCTGTTAACTTTAAAAATGCTAGCTTTTGTCTGTTGATTTCTTCCTATTGTTCATATTACACTTAGAAACATGTTATTGATAACTGTTTAATTTCTCCTTGTTAGGGTTTGAATGCAGATGTGGAAATGTCTACTGTGGCCTCCACAGATATTCTGATAAACACAACTGCAGCTTTGACTACAAGGCTGATGGCAGGGCCAAGATATCAAAGGACAATCCTGTAGTTGTTGGTTCAAAGATTCAGAAAATTTAAGACTCTAAGAACTTAGTCAGGAATGCTTGGGTAAAACAGTGGATGTCAAGTGAAAGTACATGTTATTATCTTTGAAAATAATTATCATTGTTGTTCAAAAGACAGTCTGTAGATGTACTGGTACTCTAAGTGCAAAAGTCTTGTCTTGTGTTCTGTTTTTCAGTTCTTGTGTGTTAATGATAATCTGGAGTCATCAGCACAAACTTTATGTTGTATATAACAACATGTTAGATGTAAATGTAATGCACTGCCACTTTGCTCAAGCATTCCCTTTTGAATTCCTTGCCTCTGGATAAAGTTTTTTGTGAATCACCCATATTACAGGCTTAATTCAGTACAGGTAATAAATTATGCTCAAGTTAAAATTTTATGTAGGACACAATGTGAAGGTGATGATAATTATTTACAAGTGATTGCTAGCTATTAAGCCCACAGCCCAAGTGTCATAAAGCCTTCTTTGTCTTGCTTGGGTTGGCAATATTACCAACAAGCAGCTAAGAAGAATAAGTAACAGAAGCCTTATATTTCGCTTTGAATTTCTCTGATACTCTAACTGATGTTTCCCACATATGTTCTGTGATACCCCTGCAGCTGCTACACAGTTAATCACATACTTGTCACTAACCAGTCTTCCTGCAAAACTTCTTGCAATTCCACCATGCAAGTTAACATTTTCGGGAGACAGATGCTTTTCCATGCTAATTGGAAGGTGGGAAAGGGAAAACATATGGATTCCACATTCTTATATTTCTGCAGATGCAATTCATGCTTTATTTCCTATACTTTTTGGTGCGTGTCTTTTTCATGCATGTATGGCCTGGGAAGGTTCTTTTTTTTTTGTTCTGTGGAAGAACCTGAAGGGTAAATCATTAGGTGCTTACAGGATTTTTATATGCATGTAGCTGAATATTCCCATGGAATTTTACTGTCTAGGTCAATATGCTGGTGAAACTTGGAATAGCTGGCAATAAAGCTTGTCATAAGTGATTTTTAGGTTAGAATCCAGAAATGCTGAAATTTGTAGGGACAATGAAACCTGCCTAAGAATCACTTTGGGCAGTCTTAATTCTACATAGACATGTATCTCTTCTTTTGTAATTGATAATTGGATAGATAAATGTAGACCTTTTTTCTCTTTGAAGTTACATTATGTATCTTGAGTATTACATATTCCCCATCACATCTCAACTTACACTTTACTGCTTGTATTTAGGATTAGGCTTAATGGTGCATTCTCATGTATGAACCAGTATAAGTTGTACTGATTTTGAAACAATGTCAACCAGAGGACTTTTTCAGACTCTGGGAAGAGCTGAAAGTGGTTTTGAATTGGCAGCTTGATGAGATACTGTACTCTGATAGGAGCCATCAATTCCAATCAGAACTTTCAATCTTACTAGACTCTACTTGAAATAATTCATGGTTACATTTCTAGACTCTAAATAGCAAGTGACCATAAGCCATTCTTAAATATTTCAACAAGTTTGTTGTTTGTATAATTTTAATTTCTTTCAGTTTTTACAACCTTAAAATAGCTTTTTGGGTCACATGAAGCATACACTTTAGTGCCAATAATTTTCTAAAAAAAATTAATAATGAGCTGCAAAGTTTGGAAGGTTTGGGTTTAATTTTTTTTTCTCAATTATCATGTGTTTTTCACTGTATTATATTATGAGAAGTAGGAGAAGTCAAACTTTAGCCAAGTTCATACACGAGAATGCCTTGAAATTGGGTGGGGTTGGGTAAAGAAAGCTATTAACACAGATATTAATATTTTGTACAGTACTTAGTATAAAGATAATAAACGCTAACATAACAATGAGAGACCAATTGTATGTACTTTATGTATTACAACGTGATAACAAGGAAAAGTTCCACGGATAATTTACTTCATTTTGCAATGTATAAATTAAGGCAACTAAGTGTATGTTCGATTGTTTTCAGGAAAATTGCTGTTACGTTTTGGCGTTAGAAAACAGCTATCAGTGTCAAGTGTGTTTTCTTATAGGGTTATGTAATGCAAGTTTTTCCCTGTTGTCAAGGGATTCCATTAATAAATTTCTCATTGCTATATCAGTAGACAAGTGGCTGTTGTTTTTTTACATTTTAACCTATGAAGTTAGTTTATGCCATAGAACATTCTCACAGTAGACATATTGGTGTTCTCAAACAATTGTTTTACCCTTAAGAAGAGAACCTATTTTTCGAAGGAGAGCAATTCTACAATTTGTGAACGTCACTATGGGTAGGATGAGGTAGAGTGATGGGCAACACCTAATCATCGCACCGTCCTCAGTCTAATAGTCACAAGTGCCCTTCCCACTAATTCATGACAAAACTTAAAGTATCCTCCAGCATACAGTTTCGTTTCTTTCACATGACGTCATGGTTCTGGGGCGGATACAGGATTTTAGACGAGGGGGTTGGAGATGCGGACCGCCGAACAACTTAAGGTTACAGTATACCTTCAGATCGGCAATTTTCTTCAAATTTGGATTTTTGGTTCAAAGTAATGGTCGAAGAGTAATCTCTAATTTCTGATAACAAAATTGGAAAAAACTTAATATTGGCGGAGAAATGGAGGTTTTACGTTATGGCCGGAAGTAAAAGTTCCCTATTGATTGACAGCCCTATAACGTGTATGCAATCAACCGAGGCTACTTTCGCGGGAATATTACCTATATGGATACCACGAATTGGCTGGCTACTCAGTTGATCAACATTGTTAATCCAAGCATTTTTCGTATCAGGTGTAATTCTATTAAGTTATAAGTAAACATGGACCACGGAAAGCTCCGTTTACCAGTTCGGAAAAAGCGAAGAACGAAGGAAAATACATCAATGAGTGAAAAAGCAAAAGTTGGCCTCGCGGATGAAGCTACGGACGTATCAAAAAGATCGAGTCGAGAAGAGAAAGGTTCTGTAAAATTTGGGAACTCGACAACCATAACAGCGATGTCTACAGTGACTCTTTTGTTGAGTCCGATACCGATGAATCGTCCAACTCATTGAGATCCATTGGAATATTATCCAGGCACATTTGCTCCGCCGCGCTTTCTTTTGTTTGTTCTCGTCGCCCAACTACTCTAGCGTTCGTATGCTTTTTCGTCTTCCCCATTTTGCCAAACCAGCTTCAAGAAAAACCCAGCGGCAGAAAAATTATCTCTCCGCCTTGAGCGCTTTGCGAAACACAATT